CTGTGGCTGTGGGCCAGTTGAAAGGTGGACTTTACTAACACACCTGGGGGTGAGTCTTATCAGACAGATGAGCGTGAGATGTGTATCCAGAAAGCGTGGTTTCTGGGCGGTAAAACACCATATCAGGTCCCAGCCTCCATCATGATTGACCGGCCGACTGCCTCTCTTTCCGGCAGCAGACAGACTGTCCGTCCGGAGTTTCGCGAGTTTTTCCGGGGTCAGGCGGGGCGCGATGGTTCTTTTGAACTCCGAGGGGGCGTGTCTGTGTGGGGCGAAGCCCCGCCCCCTCGCAGGTACCTCCCTACCCGTGGCCCCGCCCCCGCAGGCGGCCGCGACCGGCAACAGGGCGTGCCTATAAACCGTGCAGGTACGTAAGTAATATCGAGGATAGCGAGTAAATAAATCAACAGTACAGAAATGCATTGCTGCAACAAGAGCCTCTCCTCAAGGTCCTTCAAGTCATAGATAACACAAACATCCCAACTGTGAAAAACTGATTTCGGGGAAGGGTCCCGCTTGAAACAAACCACAGCTATACAATGAAATAATTCGCTGATGCTATAATATATATGCAATACACCACATATACTATAACTCGCCAGTCCAGTTGGATAATCTCACTTTCGTTACAAACTTGCGTTGTACAGAGATGCGGCTTGTTTAGCAGATCTGAGCAGCTTCTCAGATTGCTCGAGGTCATATGATACAGAACAATCTGGGAGCGGGGGGTCAGTTTCCGGGAGCTTATGGATCACTTGCTGGCGTCAGGGAGGAGACGCTGATTTCTGGAAATGATATTAAATAGTAGGTAAGCGCTGTCACGTCATTGTGAGCCCGTAAGTAATCCGTCCAAAATGGCTTCCTTCTGCAAAGACAGGGATGATCACTTTTGTTTTAATCGCACGACATTCCCACTGCATGTTAGTGGTGCCTCCTGTCCACAGTTTAGCAGAAATGAAATGCTCTAATTTGAACTCATTCAGAGAAAGCCAGACAATAGCTGCAACAGTGCTGCACTGATCAAATACCCCGAGTAAGTACCTGGTTTTCCTGATGAGCACATATTGTGCAGTGATGTTGACACAGGAAGACACGTTTGCCAGTTGACTATGGTCTATACACCTTCTCATTTTCAGTACTCTTCATTGCACGTTTCGCACCCCAGTGTGAGAACTTTGATGAAGCAGAAGAGGTGAGTTTTATTTTGGAAAAATGGCCAATGCAACTTTTCAAAATGGCGGTATAGTTCAGAATGTATGTCAAGAGTTTCAGAGAAGTTACAGGCCTTTGCTGAAACCTGTCACCCAGGAAACCCGACATAAAAACGTGCAAGAAGTGAATTATTTCAAGTGTAGGCTGCCAGGGGCGTTGTGCTGTTAGCACCACGACAAAAAATGTTTGATGTTAATGCATTTGTGTAAAATATTGCACAATCCAAGTGACGATCCACCCGGGTGCCTTGCGCAGTGCTTCGAGCGATTTGGAGATATTGCAAAGCTCAAGTCTTCGCGCGTCTATTAGAGTATTAGACACTAGGTGGCAGCAGCGCACCGTGTTCTGCGGAACAGGGAGATTTCTCATTTCTGACCTGAAGCTGTCGGAACAAAGGGCCGTTAATCCCTGTTTGTTTTGGCAGTAGGTTTATCGGCCAATGTTCTTCTCGAATGGCGAGCACTGGAGCACACGGTGTCCCCAGCATCCTGTCCAGGCTGCGGTCCCGCCTCGTGCCCAAAGATTCTGGGATAAGATCGGCTTGCCATCACCCTTACCAGGAATAAACAGGTTTTTCTGTTAATTCATTGATGGATGGAGGGGGTTACCCAAGAAGCAGACAATTGCACTCTTCAACTAAGGCATTTTTAAACTTTGCTCATTAAACTTTTAACACAAGTCTGGTCAGGTAATAACACTAAACTCCTTTTAAACAGTTAAACACCGCGGTGTAATATTCAAGGGGCACGCTGGCACAGGGGTTAACAAGGGGGACCCTGGGGCGCTGTCTGCGTGGAGTCTGCATGTTCTCCCTGTGTTCGCATGTGTTTCCTCTCGGCGCTCCAGTTTACTCCCACAGCCCAAAGACATGCTGGCAGGTGAACTGGCTTCTGGGAAACCCGGCCCTGGCGTGAGTGTGTTTGTCCTGTGATGGCCTGGCGTCCTGCCCGGAGGGTGCCCTGCCACGCTCCCGCTGCTCCTCACATACGCCCAGGCGCTCCGTCACGAAGGGGGCCAGGCTGGCAAAAACCCACGGAGGCCCGGGCAGAACATGCAGACTCCGCACAGAGCGGAGCTCAGCCCTGACCAGACCTGGGCGCGGAGCCCCCGGTGCCCCCCCCAATAAACAATTGTTTATTGTATTTTACTATCAGAGGAGGGGTCTTTATTCTCCCCAGAGGGCATGAAAAGCACAGCTTGCGCCGCAGCGGGGACCTGAATCTGGGCTGTTCGCCTCGCAGGAAGCAACGCTGTTGAACCTTCTGTTTAAGAGCGGACCTCTGTCGGGCTCACAGACACCACGGCAGGACCCGAACAGCCTTCTTCCTGGGAGGAGGCTCTCGTACAGATCGCATTGCCTGCTTTCAGAAGATCTTTCAGAGACGGTTTTACCCCAGAGAGACTGTTGAAACCCCACATCAAGACCGAGCTGCTGAAAAACCTGACATTGCAGACAGAATCGCAGTTGTATACAAGACTCTGTTTCTCGATTGCCCCTCATATATAACCTCTCATTCAGCTGTTTTCCTCAACGGTATACTGTAGCTTTTACACTGGGGTTTTAGCACATACAATGGCAAGTGGACAAACGATTCATGTTCTGCAAAGACAAGCTGGGCTTTTCTGGAACACGGTAGTTCAACCGTTCGTCTTTGCAGGTTCTAGCCGAGCCCCAGTCCTGCGGATTAAAAGGAAAATATTTACTTTACTCTGTCCTGCATGTGGTGCTCAGAAGCCCGACGAGCTAAAAATACGCCCAGGCCGGGCGAGTCAGATTACACTTCTCCTGTGACTTCAGAACTCCTTCCCAGCAGCCATGCAGCTCAACTCCCAGCTCAGACTGGTCGCCGCCGTCAGCCCACGGCTCTCCTTCCCAGTGCGGGCGTCACGTGATCGCAGCCCCAGGAGGCCCCTGCAGGAGCACCACAATGGGTCTTAGTCTCCTCCCCTGCTGGCCTTTCACTCGCGGGGAAAAAAGCAACATCATATCACAAAAAATATCTCCTAAGAATCATTTTATTGAAAGTTATTTTTTATTATACAATATAAACCCCGGTCAGTCCTGCTCCTGTGAGGGGCAATAGCTCAGCAGCAGGTTGGAAGAGGGGTCACCCCAATCTGACCCACCCCAGCTGTGTGAGGGGGGGGCTCTCAGCTGCCTCCCCAGAGCCACAGGGCCGTCACGCATTCGCCCGATTTCAAAAGGACAGCGGGTGTTTATCCCGCAAAAATATCCTTTCAGGAGCTCAGAAGGCAAGAATCCTTCCTCTGCTTACCCGCTTGTTGTTCTCGAGGAGAGGCCGGCTCACGCCAACGTCCGAGTTCCACTTGGACCGTTGCCATGGTGAACTGCCAAGAGCTCCGAAGCCTCTCCCCGCCGCCGCTCCGGGCGAGCAGGAACAAGCAGGGCCCCCCTCCCACAGGAGCCCGCGCCCATGGGCCCCGAGCAGATGGAAGCCATCGCCAGGGAGAGGCTGAAACAAGGGGCTCCGCTCGGGGGGGTCGCCCGCCACCCCCACCGTCTCCTGCTCGGGGGCTCCGCCTGTTATTCCTGCCCGTCTCCATGCTGCACCGGAGAAACCGAAGCTGGACTTGGGTTTGGGAGAACGAGTCGCTCCTCCCCTCCCAGAATATCCTGCAACTCCAGCGCCGGGCACAGAGCAGGCAGGCAGAGCCCCCGGCCTCTTGGCGCCGGAGGAAAGGTCACGCTGCCCACCGTGGCTTCTCCCAGGCCCCTCCCCGGCAACCAGCAGCTCTGGGAAACACAGGGCAGCCGAGCCGTCTCCCAGACGCCCTCCCCTGCAGAGCAACCCGGCCGGCGGACTCGGGTTCGCGCCGGTCAGGCTCGTCGCTAGGTGCAGTCAGGGGGGGATCACTGTGGCACACAGCCCCGACAAGGAGCCCCAGTCCAGCAGGGTCTCGAGATCCCCATTAAATCAGCCGTGTGCACAGAACTGGAACATCTACACTGTGTGCTCAGTCGCAGGCGGTATGTGCACGTTTTCCAAAACTGGGGCTCTTCAGGATCAGAACTGCTCTGCAGCAGCTCATGACAGACTGGGGGAATAAAAAAAAAAAAGACAACACCAAAATACCTTGAAGGAATAATTTATTAATTGTGCAATTCTGATTATTCACATAGGCAACTAACTTTATTTTGTTTTTTTTTCCTACAGTCACATTCTAGGAATGTAAAAATTAAAAGGATAGTTACAAGTTTCAAATATATTAATAAGGTTTTAATCAGGAAAAATATATTGCTAATAACATCTCCAAGACAAAAAACAATCCCATAAACTTAACACAAAACAAAAATTGTTGCTTTTTTTAAAAAACCCTCCGGACCGATTCCAAGAGTCAGCCCGGGCCAGTCTGCCCCTCTGTGGGAGCATCGAGGATACGAGGCAGGGCTGCAGAAGTGGGGTACAGTGGGGTCACAGTGCGCTCCGAGAGGCTGAGGGAGTCCTCGAAAGCTGCGGGGGGTGGTGCAGGGTGGTGCAGGGTGCTGGGGTGCAGGGTGCAGGGTGCTGGGGGTCCGGGGGCGGGGGGCTAGGTGAACATGTCCCACAGGCAGCAGCAGCAGAGCGCCGTCCAGCAGGCCGTCAGGCAGGCGCCCTCTCCGGAGTTGTCCTGGCGCCGCTCCTCCACCACGTACACTGCGCAGCAAGCAGAGAGAGCGGTCAGGGGGGCCAGCACAGGCCGGGCGCCACGCCTGACCCGCGGGCCCTCTCGGGCCTGTCCCAGCTCACAGCCCCCGTCACTGGGATTGCTGGCACTCAAACCACAGGAGAGAACTCCACTGACTGCAGGGAGCCTCCCTCGACCTGTTTCTGAAAGCCCCTGCGTCCTCCATGTGCAGACAGCAGACTCGCAGGAAGGCCAGGACTGGACTGGGCTGGGCTGGGCTGGGCCGGGCCGGGCCGAGACGGACCGGATCCGGACTCTCCCACTCCAGAAAGAGTGGGACGTCCCGAGAGGGCGCACGAATTCAGAGGGGAGCCTCTGGCACCTACAAAAAAAAAGCAGCGCCTCCCAACCCACGACACTGTCCCGCCCAGAACGCGGGAAGGGTACGACCCGTACTGGCATCGGCGAGCAGAGTGACAAACTACAGCTCAATTAGCTCTACAGAGCGGCTACAGATCAATGCCCTTATCTAAGACACTACTGCAAGCTGTAGAAGGAGCTGCGACACAGATGATACAGCAGACCAGACTCAAGCACGTCTGCACCTTGCCTTGGGGGGGTGGGGGTGTCTCTGTGTCATACAGACGTACACTGTGCCCCCACAGGCTGGCCGATCCTTTAAGAGTGTTCGTACAGCACAATCTAGTGCCGGTGTGATCCCTCTCCTGACCACTTTTCATACAGTGCAGGCAAAACTCCAGATTGTGCGTCTCGCTTCCTGCGGCAACATGAACGCAGAAAGATCACCACAGCCAGAAACAAGACGAGGATGAGCAATACATCCCTGATCGCAGCTGGTGTCTGATAAAATGTCACAAATACTCGAAACGATGACAGAGATGTGTAATGCAAGCCTCTGATTTGCAACGTGCACGTCAAAAGCACTGCAAAGAAAAGAAGACAACATCCGACAATCCAGCCACCACGGCCCAGAGGGAGCGCATCGGATCGGACGGGTCTGTGAGGAAGGAGGTGTTGCACAAGGGCAAACCCAGACGTGCCGTAAAAGAGAGAAATTCAAATTTGTGCATCTGTTCCCCCGATCTCAGTGCTTCTGCGTGCGTTTGGCCGCCCTGCTCTGCTGCACGTCAGGTGCTGCCCCCTGGGTGGCGCTGTGGGGCTGCAGTCCCCCAGGCTCCCGTGCTCATTAAAGCAGCCCCTCCGCTGCACGGCTGAGTCCACCCACCTCCCCCTCCTCCTCTCCGCAGAGCCCTCCTTCTTGGAAACCGCTTGTTGGGAAAACAAAGAGGATTATCCGTCCACAAACACGAGCGCTCCGAGGATCTCGGGACCAGACAAGAGCAACGGGCTCACTATCTGTCAAATAGTCAATCTCTGGCGTGTTTAGAATCGGAGAACACAGTTAAAAGTAATCCTGCGATCGGATCAATTAACGGTTCAGTTATGTCCCGAAAAGCAGCAGGATTTTGGCTCTCCAGGACCCGGGTCAGAAACTCCGATTTACAAGCTCCATTATAAAGGGCTGTCAGGGTTACCGAACTAACAGTAGCCAAAAGATCCAATTCTGGCCCAAAGGCAGCGCAGATTTACATCTGTGGCGTCTTACATCCAGGCGCTTGACACAGAGTCCTGCCTAATGGCTTGAACAAAAAATATAGTTAATCTTATAAGTCTAGCCTGTAAAACACACATTTCACTACTTAACTTTCTAATTTTAATGTACTTATTGGCTGCAGACTAAAGAGATTCAGTTCTTTAAACAGTTTTGATTGACAGGTCTTTGAGACCAGCACCGTGGCCTTTAACATGATTCTGTAACGAGGAAACCAGTGGGCAGAAGGCATTGCAAACAAGGTACTACTATTGCACTGTGTTCATGAGAATTTCACTTCCCTTAATAAACATGTTTTACAACACGTCTGCTGAACCGAAAGCAGACCAGTGGAGCAGGTCCCCAAGAAATGCGCACAGACCACTGGTTTGAAAATGGGCTAGACCGTCCGTACGATATCTCTCTGCTTCCCCCACAAAGCCAACCCAGGACGCAGTTTCAAAATGCACTTTTCACACGTATCTAGAAATACGTCAACGTCTAACTACAACTTCTGCTTTTCAAAACAGAATAGTTGCTCTTGATGCTCCAGGCTGTTAACAGGATCCCAGCGAAGTGAAAACATCACTCAGGTGGGAAGTGACGAAGACTTGTCTTGTCAGACTAAAACACCTCAGAACTAACTTCTCGCTAGAGTACATTAAAGAGCCCAAGTTCGTATGAAAAGCAGTTTTTACATTTAAACAAATACCTCCTCTCCTCTCCAGCTGCACTTTCCCTGAACTTAAACAGCCGACAAAACACCCGAGGAAACCAGGTTTGTCAGATTACACTGGCTCGTTGCCAGGACCTGCTTACAGGTAAATCCTGGAGTCAACAGGCTCCTGCTCTTCTCTGTCCAGCGCTCTGCTCGTTTCCTCTGCCCTGTCTGCCTGCAGGCCACAGCACGTCCACCAGCTTGTCCCCGCCCCTCGGCACGCCTCCTCGGGCCCCCGGGCTTCAGCCACCCTGCAGTCGCATCTCCCTCACTGACGGCTGTCGAGGGTTAAGAGGCACTCGAATGGTTCTAACTGATGTATTACCGGTGAACCATTTTCTTACAAAAGCTAATTGCCAGTAACACGACCCCCGACTGCTACAGCATACCCTTCGAGCAGAGGGCCAGGAACCCCAAGCTGCCGTCTACGCGCACCAGCCCGCCGCTCCGAGCCGGCAGGGCCGTGGGGAGCAGGCGGCCGCGGCGAGCGGCACTCTGGGAAGGCGTCGTCCGCGGGGCCTCTGTGGTTGTGGTGTTGGGGGAGGAGGGGGAGCCCAGCTGCTTCCAGTCGCCGTGGGATCGCCAGGGAAACCGTGGGAGGTGGCAGTGGAGGTGCGAGACAGGAAGTGAACACTGCCGGCGGGCCGCAGGCGAGCTCAGACTGCGACACAGCCGGGGCCTGGAGTCGACGGCCCACGTGAGCTCAGCTCACTGTACGCCGAACAGGGGACCAGTTCCACCCACCCCTGCCCAGTCCGCAGGTGGAGAACTGAGAAGGACCTTCAGGGCCAGGAAGAGAATTAAGGGGGCTCCCTAGGGAGGTCAGAGGGCACAAGCACAGCCCAGCTCCTACGCCCAGTATCATCGGATCAGCGATGATCGAGTTCTTCAAGCCTCTTATCTGCGCGAGCCACGCATCTCTCTGCTACCCTGTCCTCAGAAGGCCAAAGCACATCAGGAATCGGTGGCTGCTGCTCTCCTTACTCTGGGGAAGACCCAGTGCCAAAGCAGAAGTCAAGTTCAGGCCGTGCCTGTATTCCTGTCCGCTGGCAGGACTGCTCCCAGCTTGGCAGGCTCCAATCTACCCGCGCTTTGTGCTTCTCCGTTTCAGCCCTGCCATTAATTAAAAGAGAGGGGCGATAAGACTCCTTCCCTGGCGCGCTGGATGAATGATTTACCTCGCAAACGCCACAGCCTGCGCAGAGGACAGGTGGTGCCTGACACCGAGAGATAACCAGAGCGCTCTCGGACCACACCACTCGCGGGCTGTGCAAGTGAGCCGAGGGAGCAGGGGGCCGCTGACCCTTGCAAAGCAGGATTGCTTACTCTCTACACAGTAAGCAGCTCAGTTCCCCTGTCCTGATCCTGGCCTGCTGCTCTCTCCTGACTTTCACTCCAGCTAGGCTCTCAGTTCAACAGCCTGGACCCTTAATTCGTCGTTTTCCTTAGTGGCCGTCGATAGTTGTTAGTTGTGAAAAAGTAGAACAGGGCCAACGCATTGGCAAAGGTTCACTGTTCCTTTAATGTAGGGATGTTTCAGGGACTTGGCTCAATCTAAGCAATGACTCAGAGATCACAGTGAAACTAAAAGGGATTTTTCAGATAGTCAGGGGGAAAAAAAAGAGCTAAGAAGGCACCCGCAGACCTGCTAGCATGTCCACAGTCCCAAGACGATGTGTTTCTGCTCTCCAACACCCATGTACCAACAGCTGTACCTTCCTGGTAGTTGAGGATATTCAAACAGCGGACTACAGAAGCAGCTTGGCGCAGTGTGTACAAAGTGGTTTATAATTGACTAGCAAGTCTCACTCTTTGTGGCTCTAGTATTTTCCGGTCTAGTTGCGAGCTCCTGATAAAGCCCCCAGAGTAAAAGCTCTCTCCTGGCAGCTCTCTAATGCACTGGCTGTACAAACAGACGCCCTGCTGTTACCAGGGAAACGTTCCGACTGCGCAGCCTGTCTGTAGCCCATTCGCTGGGCGGCCCCAGGGTCTGTGTGCCCAGGTGTGCGCGGTGGGCTCTCCCCTGTGACCCGCGCAGGAAGGCTTTCATCAGAAGAGGCAGGGATTGTGGAACGCGCTGGGTCATCCCTTCTTCTCTGAAACGCAGAACTGTAAACGTCTATGAAAGCAGACTCTCAACCCCAAGGATCCTGCAGCGCCCAGCAGGTTACGGGGAACCGAGAGCTCTCCTGCAGCGCCCAGCTGGCATACACCATCGGCTCGCTTTGGCTCTGCGGCCAGCGAGCCCAGGAGAGAGGATCTCGTCTCCTCGCATGGCCGCCAGGAGTTTCCTCCCTCGGGCTGGGAGAAAGTCTCAATGTCACACTTGTCCAGTGGAGTCCTGTAGTTCGATTGTCTGAACGGTGATCATGGATGCGACATACACAAATACAAAAGGAGTGCCAGGGGACTTGAGTGGCACCTCTTATTGCGCAATCTATGAATATTTTTCCAGATCAGTTGTTTTAATGAGGATAACGTCAGAAATTTTCCCCAACACCCCCACCGGAAGGCAAGCAGATATTTACAGATCCTTCACGGTGTTTCACCGGTGAACATCAACGCCTCGCTCCCTTTCACAGAGACGCAGAGGCCCCGTGCTAAAGGGCAGGACTTCTCCTGAGCGAAGCAAGAGCCGTGGTTTCATCTTCAAAGAGATATTGCTGATAAATCTGCAGGGTTTAACTCCTTTCTTATTTAGCAATGTAACATTTTACAAGCATAATATTCATAGAATGTTCAGCCTTTTTCCTTCACCTTTTCTTTTTAGTTTACAATTGCACTTTTGATAGAAATATTTACATTGTTCTAACAAAGATGGGAGGTTAAATAATTATTAATCAAACTATGCCAAAATACAAAAAAAACAGTCTACACAGACACTTCAGAAAATGTACTCAGGTTTTAACGGGGAGATACTTCTATAGAGAGTATGTAGATTTGCTAAACCTTTCTGACTGCAATACGACAGAAAATGTTAAAATCTCGTTCACAAAATCAATCTGCTGTTCAGAGGCTGGAGGTTCTCTAATCAGTCACTTTCCCACGATTGCTTTTTTACCAGCAGCTAGAAGAAACCCTGCTATTTACATCGGTCTTTGGTTCAGAGTGATCACAAGGAAGATTACACGAAAGGCCGGGCTAAGTTGTCTACTAGCAACGTGAGAAGTGCTTGTAGGATCGTGTTTCCTGTACTGGGATCTATCTCACTGATGTCGCTGCGCCGCTGTGCTGCAGCAGCTGCAGAGCTGTTTGCACCTTCGCCTCAGCTTCCTGAGCGAGTTCAGAACGCTGCACACACCCCGCGCAGCAGGAAAACCCCTGCCTGCTGCCTTGCGCGGCTTGTGAATCTTTCATGCCTTCATCTCGCACAGGGCAGCCTGCATTTCAATGCCCTGGTCAGCATGCAGAATATTCTGCTTTTCTAAAGATAAGAATCTGTCTCCCTCATTGAAGGGAAGCAATATTTCTCTGGAAAGATGGCATACCACTAGCACAAAGTAGGGGATCGAATTGCACACTGTGTTCTGGAGGTATTAGGAATGTCCTACCAGTCTTTTTAAATTGGGTTCAGTTCTCCCAGGACGGTGCACAAAACAGAAGAGAGCGAAACAGGAGCCTGGAGCCACCAAGGTGCCCAGTAACAACAGGCCTGTCCAGCCGGTCACTGTACCCCAACCCTGCAACTCTTCAGGAGCACTGGACCTCTTTCTTCTTTCAAAATGAATTGCTCATCTTTCAATGCCACCTCTCATCCTCAAGTGTTTACAGACAGGAGGGGACCCACTTCGTACACCTGAAGTGCAGCCCCACCTGGGAGACACACAGAGGCCATTCTGCACCAGCAGAGGAGGTAGAAACATTTTCAGTTTTGTTGAGGGAGATCTTCTGAAAGGCCAGACCGACACCAGGGTTAACCCCCCTCGCCCCCCCCTTACGCTTCTGAACGCTGCATAATTCCAACAACTAAAGTCATTCAAAGGTTGGATCCATACTGGATGTTTATTTTGAAGTTCTGGTTTATTCTTACTGGTCCACCAACACCACTGACAGCCCCAGGCTGGCTCATGGGCCTCTTGCTTCAGACACTGTACAGGTTAAATCTCAGGTTCAGCTGCATAAACACAACTGGAAGTTGTTAATTCTAGCCAAATGGACACACGTTCCACAGATACAAGTATTTTTCTGAAATACAATGTTCGATCATGTGCCAAAAATATACCGTAAACAACACTCCAAAGTCTAAATGATTTCTCCACCAAACGTTTTTACACGGAGCCATGGTGCAAAGGTTTATACGGAAAGTTCTAAAGAGCTAAAGGTCAAAAAGATATTTTCAGATAATGTTAAATTATTATTACAATCTTCAACAGCGTCACACACATGGGACCATGTGAACACAATGAACAGAAATGTGTGATATCACGATCAATACGATCGGTCTTTAAACATGTGAACTAGGATCTCCCCAAATTCCTTTGAGAACAGTAGCCGTGGCAGCTGAAGTCTCTCTGTCCTCGGATCCTAGAAACAAGCGCCCTTCTCCTGTAAGCCAGCGGGTCTCTTGGTCTGACCACGCTCCGCTCAGTGTTAAAGCGGTCAGCTGTACTGCATTGGCTTCGCCGACACTCCTTATAAAGGATCAGCCCAGAGCCAAGCTCAACACGAGCACGTGTGTGTAAAGGACAGGAACTAATATTAGAGTTGGAGTTTTATTTAACCTTGCTGTTGTTGCAGCCGTTGTTCTGTGTTTACGCTGGCGTTTCCTTAATAGTGTCTTTGTCTTGGAGCACATGTGCAAATAAGTATTCCACTGCACTTGTGCGTGTGACGAGCGAGCCGTACTCCGAGCTCAAGCCAGTCCTGCATGCTCAGTTACTGAGGGGGTCCTGGCTCTGTCTGCCCGGGGGCTCCACCCTGGAGGCTCACCTGTATTCTTCGGCGCCTCGACGTACACAGGTCCAGGGGGCCCGTAGGGCTGCTGTGGGTACCCCTGGAAGGCTGGCTGTCCCGGTGCAGGGTAGGGTCCTGTGGGGCCCGGGGGGTAGTTGGGGTAGCCCGGGTTGGGGCCGGGGTAGCCCAGGTTGGGCTGCTGCATGTAGGGGGGGTAGCCGGGCGCAGAGGGCCCCGGGCCGGGGTACGGAGGAGGCGTCTCGTAACTCATCTGGGACGACGAAGGCTATCTGCAACGAGGGTGGGGGAGATAAAGAAGTTCAGACCTTTCAGTGGCGTCTCA